ATGTTATGTTACATAATACAAGTAACATAGTTTCCATCTTACCTTAGACAATTTCAATTCCTGTGCATCCTCATTACCCGGCTTATCTTCTAGATCTTCATAATGTATCTTCTCTAATATTCTCTTCTTCTTGTCCGGCGCTTCTGTACTACTGTCTTCTGCTGTTCTCTTCTCTGCTACTCCATTCGATTCTTTAACACCGTTCTCGACAACTTTGTTGTTATTTGTCGTTTTACTACTTGAGTTATTATTATTATTACTAGAATTTGTTTTATGACTAGCTTTGAGCACCTGAAAGAGGTTAGAAGATATTTTAATATTTGTTTTTTTAAACGTTTCCCCACAACAGGATTTTCTCCTGTGTCGTGGGTGCGTTTACAAACATACAAGTTCACATACACATCACACCTAGACCCGAAACAACAATCTGTGGATCACACAAGGAGTTGCTCCGTGCGCGCCACCGCGCCAACCTTGCAGTCAATTAGAACTATCTTCTAACTTTTAATCGTAATCATGTTTGTAAAGTCTGGATATTTATATTATAACTTTCGTGAGATATACAACATTGATTATTGTGTTTTCGGCTTACTCACGCAACTGTTTTATTAACTGTTTGACGAGGAACTCGACTAGTTTCAAGCCATACTAGAGTAGGAGCGCAACAGTCGCCGCGTCGTATGTCGCGGAGCATGGCTTAAAAGAGTCGAGATCCTTGTCAAATAATTTAGTCTGGATATTATAATAATGGCAATAGGTTCACCCCCTATTACATGGGACTCATAACATAAATAGTGAGTGTTACAGGCGTTACATTGTACAGTGGCATAATGTGCACCTCTGCCTACCTCTTCGAGGATAAAAGGCGTGATGTTATGTTATTATGGATTTTCTATTAATTTTAGTATTGAGAACCTTTTAAGCCTTATCAACTTGGTACATAATCTAATAGCATTTATTTTATGCAACAAACTTTTATTAGTTTACCCGCTTTTTACTTCAGTACCATACCTACTACAAAAAAGCCACTTTTGACTAATGTCAAGCCAAGATGATTATCAATTGGTATGGTGACAGGGTATGAAAATTAGAAATCTAATTAGTCCGTCAATTAGGTAATTAAAAAATATTAAATAGGTACTTGTTTTTTTTTTGTTTTGTTGTATTAGAAAACATTACTTAGACAAAACGAATCAAAGTTTAGGAGTGGGGGCTAAAACGTCATTTCTACATAATATATAAAATGTACAAAGAAGTGACGTCATGCGACTTTTCAAATCAATGTATCGTTAAAAGTATTCGTTTCTGTAAGAAATTAAAAAAATACGTGAACTAATGATTTTAAAATAATCTACCAGGCGGACATTAAAATAAAAATTAGGCATCTACCCTATTGTACCATAAACATTTGTCTTTCTCTTTTTTCAATCTAGCAATACCTTCAGTAAGAGAATATCAGTAACGAACCATTATAGAATGTTGATTGAACCGCTTGATCATGTTTCTGTGTATAGATGCATTGTCTCCTTTCTCCTTCTCTGGCGCTATTTCATCTTCTGACGGTAGTAGGGGGATGTTTTCCGTGAACTGTGGGAGGTCGACCTGAAAGAAGAGTTTTCATAATTGATGATAGGGATGTTTGTCTACTTTGTTTGGTGTCTGTCGAGTAATGGCAAGGGAACAGGGAGCCGATGGATGTAGGTCGCTTTTAACCGGCCTATATGGAAGTCATTGGGGGAGGCCTATGTTCAGCAGTGGATGTCCTATGGCTGATATGATAATGAGCAAGGGATGTCGAGTTCGAATTCATTTGGTGTGCGAAGACTCCTTTGAAAAATCTCAGTACCGAGGGCAATAAAATATTTCTGGTGGGTCTGTGTTGAAATACATTGGGCACGTAGCTAACTAATCAAATTCAATACTTTTCAACTCGAACTGTCAAAAAACGATATTTTTCTATGAATTTTGTACGAGATTGTGTCTTATGACGTCACGTTTTTTAACACCAAACAAAATAGGTATTTCTTAAAAATTTGCTGTACAAGTACTAAAATGAGTGATTATTTTTTTAATATTTTTTTGTATTGAACAGTCGAAATCATTCTTTTTGATTAAAGAAAGTACTCAATTTTGAATATAATTTTTGATTTTTATTCTCAACTGAAGTTTTAGAGATAGTAACTTACTGTGAGATCTAGAGTAGTATGTTTCATGGCTGAGGCAATAGCCTGGTCATCCAATTTGGCACATTCTCCAAACAAATCTTTACTAGACGATGAGGCAATGCGGTCTCTGGAAGAAACAGTACAGTTTAATTTGTGAAGAAAAAAGATGATTGCATAACATAACATCCCGCCTTTTATCCCCGAAAGGGTAGGCAGAGGTGCACACAGAAGTAACACCCACTTTTCACTATTTATGTGTATGATTCCCATGAAATAGGGGGTGAGCCTATTGCCATATACCGGGCACATTTCCAGACTCCGTGCTACTACTAAGAATTAAAAAAAAACCTAGGATTACTTTGCACGACCCGGGAATCGAACCCGAGACCCCTTGCCCGGTAGTCGCACTTGCGACCACTCGGCCATCGAGGAAGTCACTCAATTGTTTTCATTCAAATTAAAAAAAGATGACTGATGATTGAAAATCCAAGGTCAGTAGGAAGGGCAGGTCACAAGCACGGCTCCAGCACTGCGTTATATGCTTTGGAAACAGTACAAAAAGTGTGTGACCGCGTGGGCACTTACTGATTTTTAATATTGACGTTATGTAATATGTTATACGACATACGATTCAAAGTTCATATTTAAATGACAACGACATTGCTGGGTTGGAACCGTGCCGAAGCTATGGTTGCTACCTGTGCCTTAATAACCATAACATTATGTTTAACTAAACAATATTATTTAATGATGTCAATATGATCAAAACAATGACTTTTTTTTAAACGTTGCCCCACACTAGGTTTATCTCCTGTGTCGTGGGTGCGTTTACAAACATACAAGTTCACATACACATCACACCCAGACCCGAAACAACAATTTGTGGATCACACAAAGTGTTGTTCCGTGCGGGAATCGAACCAGCGACACGTTGTACGGCAGCCGGTTGAACAGCCACCGCACCAACCGTGCAGTCTTGTTTATATTTTACTTCATTTTCGATCTTAAAATTCAAAGAAAAATAGTAGAGGGAACAGATATTTTCTTCTTTATTATGATTTACAAAAATAGCTCAATAAACACAAACTTCTTCATCTGTATGGCTTTTATAAAGAGATAATATTATAAATGTAAAAGTATCTTTATATGCATGTTTGTCCGTCAATCACGTTGAAACTACTGAACGGATTTTGATAAAATTTGGTATACAGACAGGCTTAGGTGATAAGATACTTATCCCTATTAAATGCTCCTATGGAATAAAACAGAGGCCTTAGTACAAGTTTGTTTCACGTTTGAAGTAATCGAAGCGAGTACGTATTCGGCGCTCTGATTGGCCGGCTCCAATGACCTAACCAATCACAACGCCGAAGGCGGTCTCGATTACTTTAACGTAAAACAAACTCGTATTAGGCCTCAGAAATACGCTGTTAAATGTTACTTTGACTAAAATCGCGGGTCACTCGTGTGAAAGTACTGAGAAAAGTTCTCTCTACTAGTTTACTCTACTCTACTATGTAGTTTCGAACCACAGAGGGGTTCTAGTCGTCATGAGCAGTGTGTGAAGGAGCAGCCTACTGTACTACGCAACATTGCCGCGACAGCCATTTATAGTTAACCCGCCTGGGTGAGGCGGGAGGGAGTGTCAGACTCTTACTGACTAAAAACCACCCCGTTCCTTCTCCTGCACGTCGAGTCGGAGCCCCGGTTACCCGTTAGGTTCTCCGCGACATTTATAGTTAACTAGCTTTTACCCGCGGCTTCGCTCGCGTCACAAATGGATAAAAAGTAGCCTATGCGACATATACCAATACACACAGCGCCATCTATACCAATACTTTTGTTTTCCCTCGGGAATATCAATTTTTCCGGGATAAAAAGTACCCTATTATTTAATCCGGACTTCTAAGTTTACGTCTGCAGAAATTCTAAGCAATCGGTTTAGTAGTTACGGCGTGAAAGCGGAACAAACAAACTCACTTTCAGATTTATAATATTAGTAAGGATTTAATATCTCTCACGATAGTTATTATAAAAACAAAAGTTAGTTTCACATAAATTTACAAACAGAACATATAAATAACTGACCTGTGAAAATAATGACTCTGAAAAAACTTAGTCCAAAACTCGGCTTCAGTCATTTTATTCGGTACATAATCAACATGTTTCTTTCTGACAGCAGGATACGTTTTAAATATAGCGTCTATTATGTCTTGAGTAAGGTTGTATTTCAATCCGTTACAACCGTCCGTTTGCGGCTGTATATCCGCTAAAAATGCTCCGGACACACCTGTACAGAAAATAGATTGAATATAATTTCTATTGGTGAGTACTTTGTTCATTTGGTTTGTTATGAGAAATACTGGGTTTTAGATTTAACAATGGATAGAGTTTTGAGTCAAAAGTCAAAACCATTTATTTCAATTAGACCAGCAAGGCACTTTTGAATTTCGACAAAATAATTAAAGTGAAGCTATTTGCTCATTCCAAGGTATAGATTAGAAACTCCATAGGTTACTATTATTCAATCGGGTTCACGATACAATTATTTTATTAAGTCTTTAATAAATTTAAAACGAGACCGCATTCGACGCACTGATTGGCCGGCTTCAATGAACCGACCAATCACAGCGCCCAACGCGGTCTCGTTTCGATTTCTATATACGTAAATGCCTCTGTATTGCGTCAAGTACCTATTAACGTTTTAATGTCTACAACAAATAGTTTATTAATATTTTTAAATTGTGAATCTCATCATATCAAGACAATAATTAAACATAACAAATATTTAGAATTATTTGTGAGTAGCCGTATATTTTTTTTATAGGTGGACAACATAAACAAACTAGTGTTTTCTCCTATGTCATGGCCCATGGGTGTGTTAACAAACATATGTATAATATCACATACACTTGACACCCGGATCCGAAACGAAAAATTGTTGCGGGAATCGAACCAGGTTGCCATAGATTATAACAATATCAACATACCAGCTTCCTGCTTGATATTATTAGATTCCGTATACGTTTTGAGTGTGGGTGTGTTCCAGTATTCCTCACTATTTATCACCTTCGATATCACCAAGTCTTCATATAAATGCTTCAATGTTGGATGTAACGATAATAGTCTGAAAGATAAAGATTTACATGTTATAATATATTCATTATGGGTAGGCAGGTAAGATGCCGAACAACATGTATACTATAGATGCATTAAAGTGATTTACTCTACATAAGATACTCCTCTCTAATTTTTATAATACATTTCATAATTTTATAATTATAATAATAATGTTGTTCTCTATTATGTTAACCTATCTAGACTAGTTATATAATAAGCTTATATTAAACTGTCAAACACCAAGCGGTCACCGGTGACCGCAACCTATTGTTCTATAATTGTGTCTACAAAACCGGTACTCGACGAGTTAAGGATGTGAACAAAATGAAAATAAATATATTTGTTTGTATTTAGAAGCTGAAACAATTATTTTATATAACATACTAATATGGCAGTGGTTAGATGAGAAGAGCTGAAGACCGAGCTCAGTGGCATGCCAGTAGAGAAATCATGTCCAGTGTGGACGAACACAGGCTGATAACGATGAAGATGATGACATATATATATAACATCATACCTCTATAGTACAAACCAAACTCACAATTTGTGGCGCAGTAAACTAAGAATACTTTTTTATAAACATATTTGCATTACACTACGTTCATTTCCATGCAATGTCAAGGAAAGGTTACAAATGTTATTCTGCTATTATTAAACTGAACACTATCCACATTCTGAATTTGGCTCTGTTACAAGGCACTTTAAACTGATATTCTCAAAAGAAATGTAAACATCTGGATTGCATTTTCAATTCAAATTTATGACAGTTAAATTACCTCTGTAATTCACTGATACAAAATTTTTATAGTTCAATCGGTGTGTATCTCACAGTCAATACACAATAAGTTTTCAATATTTAATTGCATACTATGTTCATCAATGTCGTAGTAACCACGAGGCATTCACTGCTGTGCACAGGTCTTCCCTAATGACTTTAAGATCGGCCATTTGAATTATATTTAGGCAGTTTCATATCTCAGGATAGTGGTTATAATTATTTAATTTATTTATGTAATTTCTGATGTACATATTATATTCTTGCATTTATCTACCACACTTATGACTGTTAGAATACATTAAAATAATTAATCTTATACTAATTGTTATATTTTTACATTCTACACCATCCAATGGTCAGAGAATGCCTATGGCATTAAGTCCGCCAATTTTGTGAAATTGGCGGACTTAATGCACTGTGGTGTATGTGCAATAAAATTAAAAAAAAAATATATATATATAGCTAATGAGTTTGTTTGCAAGAAGTACTAGTCCCATTTGAAATTTTTTTTTGTGTTGGATAGTGCATTTTTCGAGAAAGTTTATAGGCTATAGAACATCACACTACCGTCATTAGGTTCCGAGCTGAGCGGATAAAACCGATGCAGTACTTATCTAGTTTAAGCCATAAAACCTTAAAATACTTACTTTGACTTCATCTCCAGCTCTTCGTCAATCTGTCTCTTAAACTTTGGCAGTAAGTTTTGCAGCAGCATTTTAACTTGATCCCTATCTTTAGCCTGGGCTTCAGCACCAGCAGGGTTGACGAAGTGGAACGTAGAACATGTCCCATCGTGTAACACCACTTGTAATTGAACTTTTGCTTTGCCCGCTGGGGATATTTTTTGTGCTGAAATGAAAAAATACCAGTTAAATGAAAGCTTTACATAACATCACGACTTTTATCCCCAAACCTGACTTAATTGCACTGTACAATGTAACACCCACTTTTCACTATTTATGTTATGATTCTCGTGTAATAGGGGGTGAGCCTATTACTCCGTGCTACTACAGAGATTATTAAAAAAACTCAGTAATACTATGCCCGACCCGGGAATCGAATCCGAGACCCCTAGCCCGGCAATCGCACTCGACAATGAGCCAGATAGAATACATACATATAGGTGTTATTGATTGAAACGAAGTCAAAGCATTTATTTCAATTAACCGCTTGAATGCACCAATATAGAACACAATAGAAAATACATTGTGTCTCGCATGGATCCACGTTGAGACACACGAAAGGTTAAACCATAATTTAGTACTTTTGAAACATCAAAATGTGTCAGTCAGTCCGTCGGTGAAGCTAGGTGCTCATTCCAAAATGTAAATTCGAATGGAAAGAAAGAGCAAGAAACTCCATTCATTCTCTTTTGAAAAGAAAAACAACAAACAAATAGAACTACTAGTAATAAGTAAAAATGTCTCTGTACCACCATAAGGTAGACTGGCAGAGAATGCCCTAGGCATTAAGTCCGCCTTGTGCATAATGTGCAAAACTATTAATTATTTTTTATTATATATTTAAGGGGCCGACGTTTGACCACTACCTCGCCTGATGGTAAGCGATGATGCGGTCTACGATTGAGCACGTCGTCCAATAAACAACCTATTCACTCGGGCCTCAAAGACCCCCAGATTATACCCTTCAGGAAATATAGACTCTGGCAATGAATTCCACTCCTTAGCAGTACCCACAATGAAGCTTGATGCGAAGTGCTTCGTGCGTGTGGGTTCATCTACCATGAATCGGTGACGCTTCGCCGATTGTCTATGATGATGAAAAGGACTATGGGGAATCAAATAAGCCAATAAAAATTAAATCAATAAATTATTCTTATTGTAAGATTGTGTAAATTCTAGTACATTGAAATAAGAGACAGTATGTCTAGTATTTGTTAATTGAAATAATAACTATAGTAATAGAAAATCAAACATCTTAAAATGCTATCTAAAAAGAATGATTGTTACCATAGTAATCTAGTGCTTAGATGTTTCTAAAGAAATAAGCTGCAAAATACAAAAATGTATCGATTTACAAATACATTAACAAGTTATGGATAGTTATAGTATAGTGCAGTGAAGAATGGAAATAGATTACAGAACATTAATCTTTTATGGTTTTTATGGATATACTGTTCATTTTATTTTAATAGAAGAAGACAGAAATACTATGTATTGAGTAATTAAGTTGGTACTTTTATGATACTGAAGATTTAAATTGGTCTATTGAAGACATTAAACCCCCTGATAATCAATTTAGACGCCCAGATACCCTTCAAGAAATACAGACTCAGGCAAAGATTCCATTTAATTATTTGAGCAAATGACATCACATTATCACAATGACATCAATAGCCTATAAGTGGCAACTGCTGGCATGGTCTATAATAAATGGGCTCTTGTCACACGGAGAAGGTTTGAGCATTAATCACCATGCTTGCTCAATGCGGGTTAGCAATTTCAAAATTATAATTAGAAATTATTCAGATTTCCTCATGATGCCTTCTTCATTATCTGTTAGTGGTGCCTAAATAGTCTTAGAAAGGATATAATATAACTCGGAAAAAGTCACATTGGTGCTTGTCATTGGTAGGTTTTGAACATGAACCCTCATGTATGAGAAGCATGCATCTTAAGCCTCTGGTCCACCACGATTTGAGCAATTAATTTTCTTTAATATAAGAATAAGGCTCCAAATTAATGAAAAAATAAAATCTATTATAAATAAGACATAATATTCCATAGCAGTCTGGAATAATAAATTTAATAAGAATCATTGAATCATTTAACTGAAGCACAAGTACACTTTAGCTTTCATGAATAATCACCATCGATAGATGATAACTCTGCATGCATTAGTTATTAGGAAGTTGAATAATTATAAGTTTGCATCACATGATCCAAACATTAATGCATACAAGAACACTACCAACGATTTATAACAGGACTGTCCAAACTATATACCCTCACAGGCTAATTAAATTTCTTACAATAGCTGGAGGGCCAGAAAAATATTTTCAGTTGTTTAATGACGTTTTACATTGTATTCTTTACTCACAAACAAAATTTGTTTACAATTCATACACTAAATTTTATTATTGTTGTTGCACATAAGATGAAGATGTTGTGATTAAAATGAGTCTCGCGGGCCACATGAAAAAAGGTGCGGGCCGCATGCGGCCCGCAGGCCTTAGTTTGGACAGCCCTGATTTATAACATGATATAGGATGATGACAGATATAATGCTATATGCCAATAGATAAAACACCTGATACTATTGACATTGTGAAGTATTTATTCATGTTCTGTAGTTTCTATATTCGTTTCTTTAATATGAAAATGTATACAAGTAGCATCCAGTAAGTACATAAAAGACATGTTTAGAAGATGTAGAATATGTAATCTGTGTATTGCAATACCTGGCAAGTGATACACAAACAGCATCCGTCATATATTTATCTATAAGGTTTGCATGAACAACAATGTAAGCAGAAGTATTTATGATAGCTAAATTTCCATCATTTTATGTTCAAGTGATATGTTATTTATTATTAGAAGAGTTATAATGTAGTATACTTACTTTTAATGTCAGCATATTTATGTGATACAGCAACTGTGTCTCTATTTTCTAACATCCAAGCTAACCTTTGGTTCATAACATACAAAGTGCCATCACCCTTCTTGAACCTCACGTAGCTAACACTGAGCAATACGTCCTCGGAAGACGTAGTCATCTTCAAACTTCACCGCTCTACCCACAAAATCCACAGACTTATCATCAAAAAGTTATTTAAACCCAAAACTCAGCTTCAAGTCTTCCAATCGCTACGTGATTCTTCAATACAATCGACTTTTCATATTGTCTGGCACAATTTCGGGTGCGAATTTATGAAGTTATCGTATTTATTTGAGTTTCAACGTTCATCTCAAGTATAAAAGCAAAGAATTAAGATATTCTATCTACAAAAACCATATCACAGTCCGTCGACCATTAGAGGATTTGACAAACTGTCAGGTAACTTTTTTTTTCAAGTTTCAACCTGTTCCGAGTATCCACTAGAAATTCCACAAAAACCATAAACACCACGTGGGAGATGGCAGTACAAATGCAGTACAAGTACAATAACCTTACTAAAGATTAGAAACACATTTTAAATGTGGGAGAGCTACACTTCGGAACGAATGGGCCGGCACGATCATAATAATACAACGACCTCTCAAAAAACCAACGTGAAACAACGAGATTACCGAAAGTCCAACAAGCCCCCCCTCCCTCTCCCCAATTCCTGAATCCCAAACAACCCTCATATTCCTAATCCCCAAAAGGCCTGTAACGCACTTGCAATGCCTCTGGTGTTTCGGGTCATCGAGTGTCCATAGGCAACGCAGATTCCTTACCATCAGGTGATCCGTCTACCCGTTACTGACTTATCCCATAAAAAAAGATATCGGTAATCGATGTAAGGGCTTAATGTTAGGGCGAATAAGGGTGTTTCAGTTCAGTATTCAAAATACGGAAATGCCACTGCGTTTTGTCACCTCATAATTTTGCGTTTCTCTTGTATTAAACTTTAGATACAATTAATATGAGATGTGAATTTATTATTTAGAGCCAGCAAACTTGTGTGTCGCGTGGGTCACCAAATTCTTATACCCGATTGGTGGCCAGCCCACATCCCACTACAACATGCAAGTGTATAATTCCCTAGAGAAGAGGCGCTGCAGTTGCAACTTGCAACACTCACTTTTCGCTTGCCAGTACAACAATCGTAGGTATTAGGAACCTGAAAAGTAACGCTTACTGACACTACCGCAGAGTACCTTACCGTAGAGAGAATTTTTAGGTACGTTTGTTAAAGATCTTTAAATATATTACAAATATGTATTATTAAACAGTTTTATACTTCACCCGTTTGTTTGTTTATTAGCTTGCCCAAAAATGAATATAGTATGAAAAAGCCAAAATCGATTAAAATAATTTATGTGTGGCCAGGTAGAGTAAACATAGTATATACCCAATTCAATAATTGTTTTCGATTAAACCATATACCTAACTTTGTCTTGCTTTGTATTATCTATCCACAGATTTAGCAGCCGGTTTATACAGTTTATTTTTTCATGGGATGATAATCTTGGGAAATCTTATATGTTTGGGAAGTTTACTTGTAATTGTTCCTTATCTGTATTATTCATCAATTTCATTAGTAACAAACACGTCACAAAACCATAACTCAGATATTAATGTGCCCTGCTATACAAAATTGTAATTGAAGTTAGATTTCCCTTAGACTTAATAAACTCTTTTGAGTTCGATTGTTAGCACCAAAATGTCAGTGGCATATCTTACTTATGCGTGTACTTGCAACACCGTAGTGTATTGGTGCGTGCGTCTACATCTGTTGCCCATTCACAGAGCATTTGGCAGACACCTAAGAATTGTAATGATGGGTCATGTCCCGCGACAGATATCTATCGTGTCAATGTGTCTGTATTCTGTGATATTCTGCGTGTAAGCCTATAGTAGCCAGATACAACTAAAGTTGTTTCAAGAGACTATGGCCGCCTTTTTTTTCAAAGTGTTAACCAAGGACAGGTAACTAGAACAAAACGACCACGGAATACAATTGAAACGTTCTTTAAAAACACTCTGAATGATAATTTCAACTCTACTTAACACAAAACAAAATAAAATAACAATACATTGACTAAAACAAATAGTAATATTAACTAAAAAACATAAAATTGTTAAATAACTATACTAATAATTAAACTGTTATAATATTGTTAACTGCCTTGTAATTTATATCATTATAAAATATCTGTCTTATAGAATCTATGAAAGATAATTAATAAAAATACGAAATGCAAAATTCAAATAAAATGCCATGCATTTCGTGGTTTTTTGTTGGGGTGGCAAGCGTTAATATAAATTAATACTGGATGAGAAAATTAGTTATTATGTGAACGTAACTATAATATACCGCCTTTAAAATATTTCATCACAGCAACACTCAACATTGACAACCCAAAATGCAATCATGGCGCACGGGGCACTGTGTTTTTAGAATGCTGAGAAGTTTTTACGTAAACACTTCGTTATTTTGCATTGTAAACGATTTATGTGTTTTTATAAATTATCCTTAAGTTTTTAAGATTGTAGTGAAGCATACATGTGTGTTCCAAACTTGAAATTTTCACCCATTCGGAATCACGACTCTGTACTACTAGACACTTGCAGGTATAAAAATCATGAGATTCGCTGTTTCAGGAGTCCTAACGTTCGTAACTTGATTCTTTATTAATATAAACATGATGAATACGTCAAATTATATGTTTGTTATTCAATTAGCAGTGAACTATCGTAGTAAATGTGATATATTCGTTTGTTCCAGATAACTTGTTGGTGTCATAATGTCAGAGGCGTACGCCCGTGAGATACTGCGAAGGAATGTTGCGCAAATATGCCAAACTATTGGATGGAACGGTATAAACTCGACTCCATTGGACATTTTGGTGCATGTGCTGGAGAAGTACATAAGGTCACTTGGGACTCAAGCCAATAGATACGCCGAACAATTTAATAGGACTGAACCAAACCTGCATGACCTAGGATTAGTATTTCGTGACCTACACATTAATTTACCGGAGTTGTCAGAGTATACCAGGTGCGTCCCGCCTGTGCCATCACCTGTGACCTCTGAGAAGTTTCCGAAGCCTAAGGAATCTAATTTGAACTTCCTCAAACCTGGCAGCCATGAAGTGGTCACAAGACCCATGCATGTGCATGAACACCTGCCACCAATGTACCCAGAGAAAGAACGGGATACACCAGTTGTTGCAGGAACTGTTGAAATCCGTCAAAATGGCATTGATAATGTTGACAATAGTAATGCAACATGTACAAGTCCAGAAATTTCAGTCACTGATAGTCCAGATAAAAACAAGGAAATCTTTAAGAGACCCACTGATCCAGTTTCATTACCAAACAGTAAAAGACCAAGGTTACGTTTGGATGAAGAGGAAAGGACCAGAGAGATCAGCAGTGTAATGATGACCATGTCTGGATTCCTGTCACCGGCACGTGAGGGTAAACTGCCTGAGGCACGGCCACCAGCCGTTATGTCAGAAAAGCAGTTTGATAAACACAAAGTAAATTCACATCATTCTAATGTAATAAAAGCACCAATAGTAGAGAAAAGTGATAAAAAATCTAAGAAGAATAAGTTATTGAATGGCAAAGTTATGAAAAGTAAAAGAAAAGATAAGAGTCATAAAGGTGAGGGTAGTAAATCTAAGGATAGTAGTAAATTGAATAAGTTTCCACCAGGTTATCCAATTAAAAATAAGGATGTTCATCCTACACATCATAATCATGTCACCATGCCAGCGCCTAAAGCTGTACCTCCGCCACCACAACCATCTAGGTCTGTGATGCCACCACCAGCTCCTGTGACTGAACCTATTCGACCTGTTCCTCATATCAAGCAGGAACCTGTTGAACCGCCGTTACAGACACCTCCAGTTATGTCCAAAAACTCAGTTCTGGCTGAGGATGCAATTCCTGTACCAAGGAAAATACCAATTTCAAAATCTCCGCTGGTTGCTAATTCTGTTGCACATAAATCACAACCTTCCACGAATTCATTTGTACCAGAAGTGCAAATAAAGAAAGAAATTGTTGATGAGGAGGAAAAGTTGGCCTCTCAGCCAGATAGATCAAAGATAAATATATTTAAAAGGATATCGAACAAATCAAAAGAAGATAGAAGCACTCCAGAGGTTGTTCATGAAAAGTTACAGTCTGACTCGTTGATCTCAAGGTTACACAATTCTGCACATGATAATGCAAGTGAAAGTAGACCTCAAGACCATGTTAGAGTGAAAACAGAAGAGCTCATTGTGAACAATAATGATAATAGTGCTGTTGATTTATCTAAAGTCATGGACTTGAGGACTGATGAAGTGATAAATATTGATGATGATTCTGTAGATGTGCATCCCATGGTGTCAAAAGCCCCACAAGTAGAACATCGTCCTAGTATATCAATTAATAAATCTCTGCAGGTACCTTATCCCAAAGATATAGCTAGTGTCAGTCCAAAAATTAAAAAAGAGAAGAAACACAAGGACAAGAAAGATAAAGCTGCAAAACTTGAAGCAAAGTTATTAAAGAAACAACAACAAATAGCATTTGAGATAGCCCAAGCTGAAAAGCAAAGTATGAAAATGAGTGGTGTCAAGCCACCTAAATCAAGTAGGCCAAAGAATGAATCAAAACTGCCACAAATGCCACCTGGTTTCCCATTCTTTCCCCCTGGTATGACTCCAGGAAGGGGTTTGATGCCTGGACCAGGCTTAATACCAACACCGGGGTTAATTCCTAATAATGACTTTTTGGCTGAATTAGCCAATAATCCTGCACTGAGAGGGCTACCACCCTCAAATATGCTCACCAATCCATTCGCATTAGGTGCTGGTGGGCCTGGTTTGATCCCTGGACCTAGTTTTTTGCCTGGTGGTCTTAATCCTGGTATACGAAATCCACTTATTCCTATGGGTACCTTTCCTCACACATCTAGATCTTCCCCTATGAAAATACCATCAATGTTACGTCGTCGTCCTAGCTTAGAAGTGATTCCTGTTGATAATAATGATGACGACAGAGGCATGCATAAATCTATGATGGGCAGAGACAAGGACAGACACGACAAGCACAAATCTCAAACCATTCCAAACATTTTACAGAAACACAAGTCCAAGTCACATAAAGATCATAAATCAAATATGTTTAAAATGCCTCCGGTGACACCAGATATAACTATCGAATTAAATCCTCCAAAGATAGACCCTGTAAGACAAGAGCCACCTAGGCGGTCTCCTATCCCGCCTCGTTTGCCGACTCCGGAACCGATTATTGAAAAGAGACCGGAGCCAATACCAGAACCTATCAGAGCACCGTCTCCGGAAATCCCTCAGGAAAAGGAAACAGAAAATACGGAAAAGAAGAAAGATAAATCACACAAAAAGGAAAAGAAAGATAAAGACAAAGATGGCATAAAAATTAAAAAGAAAAAGGATAAAAAGGACAAGAACAAGGATAAGTCAGAAAAGAAAAGGGAAAAGGAAGAAAGGCAAGAGTTGAAAGAAAAAATTAAGAAAGAGAAGAAAGAAAAGAAGAAGGAAAAGCAAGCGGATGGCTTAGTTCCAAAGCTCACGCTTAAACTAAGTTCGTCTAATTCAAATTCACCAATGCCACCAAGTTCGCCAGATCTATACAAGTTAAATATTAAACCGGTGATGAAAAAGGATGACGAGGATGAGGAGTCACCGATGAAAGATGAGCCTCTATCCAGAGAGCATAGTCGCTCTCCAGAACTCGCGCAAATATCTGCGCTGGTGACGAGGCCACCCAAACAAAAGCATTCAAAACACAACCACATCGCAGACATCGAAGGTCACTCGTCCTCCCCACCTTCGGGAAGCTCGCCTCCACGGAAGACTACTCCATCATCCTCTTCGAAATATAAGAGGATATTAATAAAACCGTTGAACAAGAAAGGTCATGTTGAGCACTTTGACGATGATGTTGCGTCGATTTCTGAGGAACCTGCTCCAGCTCCTGCACCGCCGCCCCCCGCGCCTATTGATAAACCAGCAGGTCCATTACCCACACCCTATTACTTAGATGAATGTGGCAATAAGATTTGGGTATGTCCTGCATGTGGTCGGCCGGACAATGGCTCGCCCATGATTGGTTGTGACGGCTGCGATGGCTGGTACCATTGGGTATGTGTTGGTATCACCGAAGAACCCGGCGCAACAGAAGACTGGTTCTGTAAGTCGTGTCTCGCGAAACGCGCCGCAATGGCGCTAGCTGGTGTAACTTCCGCCGGTAAAAAGAGGGGCCGAAAACCCAAAGGGGAAAAAATTAGAGACTGTCATTGATTGGACCTTTTGTTGTTAATGAGATTAGTGATAATTTTCCGTTCGATAGATACGAGTAAAAGGATGATGAAAGTTGTTATGGATTAATTGTTGAATGATATCATGAAGAAAAATGTTTTTTCATCATTTATAATGTTATATCATAGGCTTCAATTAAGTATAGATAATAATGAATATTGACATAAAATGTTGAACATAAAAATAGTGTAGTTACTTGTAATAATTACCATAATTTTAAATATTTTGTTACGATTTCTCTTTATTTCTCGTTCGCTCGGTTAGATCAAGCTGTAATGCGATGGCGGGCGTGTTATACACATCTCGCGTGTAAACATAGATGATAATATAAGATTCTTTTTATATTGTACAAAAACTGAATTTACTTAAGAAATTGGTGATGTATAAAGTAAATGTAGTGAATATTTAAATAAACAGAATAAGGCTGGATGAATTTTCAGCTAATATTTGAATATTTTCATATTATAATTTTAATATAACCCTGTTTTTTTTTGTTGAAGTTGTTCCTTCAATTTTTGTACAGAACAGGCACTGTCGCACTGTCTCTCCTTGTTGGACGTTTTTCTAATGAAATGCTAAGGAATATTGTTTCGCGTGCAAGAGTGCCTGCTCTATTACATTCGACTTACTTGGAAGGGAGGCAAATGTAAATTTTTAATTTCAGCCAGTGGCCAATTAAATATATTGGTACTCGAATTGTAGTAAATTATTTTAATCTTTTTAACAACCGAAATGATATTATTGATCCAGCTAACAATACCTATTTCCTCATTCCTCCATTTTCAATCAGGTTTTAATTTCCTATTGGTACCTACTTAATGGCGGCAAAGTAAATGCATTCGAGATCGCACATTGTTATTACAAGTACATGAGTCATATTTCCCGCCTAAAATTTTAATACACAAACTATTAACCAATCACACGGTAGACGACTTGCCGCCAAATATTATCTGTCTGTATCTAGGTACATACACATGCCGATTTCAGTAGTCGGTTCCGGTGAATATGTTTCTAAATTACAATTAAAAGCATGGATATAATTATTACGCGATAAAACTAAACACGGTACCTACATAAGAAAGCTTTACATCATACACCTAACATAATATCAACCAAGGTCAGACGTATTGCATGATAGCATCTACCTACTCTCAACATTTACTAGTACCGATTCGTACGCATGTCAATTAAGTACTACAAAGTATACATATACTTGTACGTTATGTGAATAATTTATTGTACAATTGTGTGTACACCAAACAAATGTGTTAGTACTTTTAAACATTGACGTCTAGGTAAGGGACTAGAGGCAAATTAATAGGTAGGTAAGTATATTACCTATACTACTTACTTCTACTACTTGTTCCTAAAATAAAACAGGAAAATCTACTCTATCCACTACAAGCCTGGAGCCGTGGAGGAATTAACGGGTTGCCGGGGCTCCGGCTCAACAGGGAGCACGATCGGGGTGGTTTTTAGTCAGTATGAGTCCGACGCTCCCTTTCGCCTCGTCCGGAGAAACAATTGGATGAGTTCCCCTTCTAGAAGTTTAGTAAATATAAAGTGAATTATTTAGGTACCCATTTCAGGAAGGTAAAAATATCTGCATTTTACCTACCATTTGTTGCAATTAGTAACTTGCAAGCTAAGGGGGAGCTCCGGTGATGCCGATAATCCAGATTTAAAGTTTTACGGTTATTTTAGTTTGCTACTAATATTATACTACTGCAATCTATTGAAGATCCAGAGCGCTGCTGGAATAAGGCATTCTGATCAAGGAGGGAAATGAAGCCTTCTGTTTATCAATGGGCTAGGTAGAGGTGTACGTAATGCATTTTCATCAGTTACAGTCATGTAATACGGTGTAGGTAGAGCCTATAAGATACTAGTATTGTATACCGGTACCCGTACAAAAGCAATTTCGAAAATCCCTTTTCAAATTATCATTTCTGAGGGTAAAGGTGAGTAGGTGATACAGAAATAAAAAATAATGTTCAACATAAAAATCTATTGTTATAAATCAACATCAGTTATCACTCATTCAACTAAAGTTTTAACATTATAGTCAAAAAAGATGATACAATTTATTCCTAAGTTGTATTTTAATTAAATTCAGTTTACAAAGCACTCACAAATACTAAGCATCTAACCATGCCAACGACAATAATTTGTTTTCGAAATAATTTACAGCGTTTATGCGTAATGCAAATAAGACTATGCTTGATAGTTGATTTTTGGTTACAACTAAAACCGACATCATAAAAAAATAATTAAAATGACACTGGCAGACTGGAATTTGTTTATTGTACAAAACATCAACAGTGAAGTAGCTATACAAAATGTTCAACATATTAATTGATTATTGGTTACTGTTAGTTTCAATCATCTCTAAAGTCTTCACTTTGCAAATATAACAGATGAAAGTAAATGCTGATACCATTCCCAGATAATCATTTCATTCTCTACAAAAACAAATCTAAGTCATTTTCAAACGTCCACGACGCAACAAAGAAAATACCTTTACATCTTAAAGGTACTCAAAATATTTTCACGTAAAACTGACTATACTCAAACTACAATATAAAGGCTTAATTTTATTACTTGGTGGTCGAAGATGGTTTCGGTGACGTCTGTTTTAAACTTTCTGGAGGTGGTACTATTGTTTTCTCCTTGTTCCATTCCTTGAGGCCTTCGGGTAATGACGTGTCTTCGTCCAAGGATCCCGTGCCTTCCACAAACTCCTCGTAAGTGCTCTTTTCTGGGAACGGTCTCTTTCCAAGCAGTTCAATCATGTCCTCTCTACTTAAAATCTCCTGTTTCAGCAATCTTTCTGCAACTTTGGCAATATTGTCCTTATGTTTCGTTAATAAATCGGTTGTAAACACGTGCGCGGCGTTTATCAATTCTCTTACTTCGGAATCAATTAACTCTGCCGTCTTTTCCGAATATGGTTTGTCGATTACCATTTCGCCTGGCTGAGGCATTTCGAAAGATACATTGCCTACTTTAGGGTTCATTCCGTAGTGGACTATTTGTGCGTACGCGCTTTGTGTTATTTTCTTCAGGTCATCTTGGGCACCCGTTGTTATTCTGTTGAAAAAGATTTCTTCACTGACTCTTCCACCTAATGTCATACACATTCTGTCGAACAGTTGTTCTTTGCTGTAGAGGTATTGTTCTTTCGGTAAATACTGGGCGTATCCGAGACCTTTGCCTCTGGGGATGATGGATACTTTAAGTAGAGGATCAGCATGCTTAAGGAACCAGCCGGCGACTGCGTGGCCAGCCTCGTGGTATGCCACAATCTTTCTCTCGTCAGGTTGGAGGACATTGGATTTCTTTTCCATGCCTGCGACGACTCTCTCAATAGCTTGCTCGAAGTTTTTCATGGTGATGTCGTGAGCCAACTCACGAGCAGCGATGAGGGCGGCTTCGTTGCAGACGTTTGCGATGTCAGCGCCTGTGAAACCTGGAAAATGATAAAACAATATTTTTATTGACTGTTATACATAACTTTGTTGTAAATAGAAGTACAGAGGCTGGATCAAGATATAGTGACTACATAATAAAATTACTTAATTTCTTTCTACTCTTTCGAGGAAGAAAAGTGGTGGTGATAACTATTTCAAATCAACGTAACGCGTCTTGATTTTAAATGGTGGTTTTCACAAAATGGAGACTAAAAATCGAGGGCTACAATATCTTTCAACGTTTACGCTTTGTCATGGCATGACAATGCGTTTAATTTAATGTTCAATCCAATTAGTCGGAATGGGGCTCGATAAGCACAAAACCTGTAGGTAAGACATGTAGGGTACTGGGCAGTACTGGGGACATTTAGCATAATCGATAAACTTTTATCGAATACAAATCGAGATAAAGACATTTGAGATCGATAAAAGCTTATATCAGGTACAAGGCTTGTGTAGGTGTAGATTCTACAATTGGGAATAGGTTGGAGTAAGAACGGAGCGGTTTTTAGTCAGTAAGAGTCTGCCACTCTCTCTCGCCTAACCCAAGGCGGGAGAAGTGATCGGATGATTTTCTATCGTGAAAAAAATTAAAAATATTATGTGATCTAAAATTTCATGAATCATTTCCCTTTATTTTTCGCAAGCACGCAACTGCTGAACCATAGATCTGAGCGTGATTAGCGAGCCAAGAAGTACAAGCTTAATTAATTACTTATCAGCTCTTACAAGTCACTATTTTACATGTTTATGAATACGTCATAGGATTGAAATGCTAATATTTTCAGATAGAGATGCTCCATGAAATCATGGAGCATTTTTAACGCACTTACAATGCGTGCGTTTGTAGTAACAAATGCACGCAATTTGTATCGTGGTTGAAAAATATTTTGTGCATAGCCTGTAACTATATATATAAATAACAGTAATGGGTGATAATATGGGTGATTTCATTTATTTTCTAAGTTGTGCAATAAAAAATATACATACTATGTCAAGAAAAGTAAATACTACGAGCTGAGTAAAACAATATTCAAGGTTGTAAATTCAATAAAGAGAAAAGTTTTTACCTCATTTCGCAGGACTTGCAAAAATAAAAAAATAGGTACTTAATTGGTTTGTTGTTCTGAATATTTTCATTCATATTAATGCAACTTGCATATAAAAATATACAGAATTATGAAGTTTTCTACTGTGTTTATCTACTATTATGATATTTTTTATGACGGTAAAACCATGATTGCCCATTTTTAGACCAATCAAATATTTACCATCGCTGAAGTCATCTATGACAGGAAATAAATAATACATGATGAAAATAATGATTGTCAATATAATAACCTGGTGTGAGTGCAGCCATCTTCCTAGCCAACTTCTCCTTGTCAATTGTAGTTTTCAGAGGTGACAAGTGTACTTTGAAGATTGAAGCTCTGCCCTTGATGTCTGGTGCAGGCACAAATATCTGCCTGTCAAATCTGCCAGGTCTTAGCAGAGCTTTGTCCAGGATATCTACTCTGTTCGTAGCAGCCAGTACCACAACATTCGTTGTTGTATTAAAACCATCCATTTCCACCAACAGTTGGTTCAAAGTATTCTCCTGTTCTGAGTGACCTCCAAAGCTACGCCCTCCTCTTTTCCTACCCACAGCATCAATTTCATCAATGAAAAGAATGCAAGGTGCATGTTTACGAGCCATCGCAAACATGTCACGGACTCTGGAAGGTCCAACACCCACAAACATTTCCAAGAACTCTGATCCTGACACTGTGATGAAAGGCACATTTGCCTCTCCTGCAGTAGCCTTAGCTAGCAAGGTTTTACCAGTACCAGGAGGGCCAGTGAGAAGGGCTCCCTTGGGAATTTTGGCTCCCAAGTCAATATATTGCTGAGGATTTTTTAAGAAGTTCACAAACTCCATAATCTCAATCTTAGCTTCTTCACACCCAGCAACATCTTGGAACTTAACACCAATATCAGTGGGATTAATTAGTTTAGCAGTAGACTCCATGACACCACCAAAGAGGCCACCACCTCTTCTGCCCCCACGGCCCATCATATCTGCTGATCTTCTCATCATATAAATTAAAAATCCTATAATAAGTATGGTTGGCAGCATTCCTGTTAAACTTGAAGCCTCTACCTCAGTTTTATAGATAACAGGCAAGAAGTTTGGAGGTTCAACACTCATTTCAACTTGTGCATTTTCTAAATTTCTTTCGAATGAGTCTACACTTCCAATTGCAAACCAGATTACCTTGCCATCGAGAGCTGCTCCTGGGTGTAGTTTCACTCTCACCCATTTTTTGTTGATAACTTCTAGTTTTTCAACAGTGCCTTTATGTAAGTATAGGTTGACGAAGTCTCGCCAACTGATTTCTCTGTAGCGCAGCTCAAAATATGCGATGGATGCTAGTATCCCTACAATACCCATTGCACCAAACAGCATCCATTTTTCTTTGTCCTGGCCTTCGTAGCCACTGCGATTGCCGCCACTATTAGAGTTACTAAACATGTTCATGTTCCATTTGTCTTGTGGTGAACTTGGTTTTGGAGAAGGCTGTGCACCTTTTGAAGGCGCAGGTGGTGCTTCTTTTTCACTTGGAGTTTTAGATTTTTGACTAGAACCTGGCTGGAAATATTTTTCAAACCCTTTAGGCGGCTTATTGCAGAATTCGTACCACTGGTTCAAAACAGAATCTATCGCTGGAACACCGACTGGTTGAAATTTCGGTCCATTATGATGAAATTTTGTTAACTGAGTTAGTTGAGAATGTGTTAATCTCAATCCTTTCCACATTTTGCTGCGATTTTATTTCTATCTATATACAGGAATAATTGTTTTTAATTATTATTGCACAATTCTTTAGGAAACGGGATCACAAAATACTATCGAGAAATATCGTGACAAACATGGTTAGAAAATCTGACAAATTCCAACTGTCAATTGTCAATGTAGGGAATAAAGACCTCTACACACAATGAATGAAACTGATTTAGCATAGCAAATATTGCACGAAGAGATGTTTTTGTGAAAATATTGTTTTTAAAAGATGTTATGCACAAATTATTATAACTGTAAATCACGTTTGGATTATTTTAAGCAGCCCTTTTAATCTTTTTTTAACATTTTTGACATTTGCAAACAGATTTGTTAGAATCTTGACGTTTAGTCTGTTGAATGAGAGTGACGGAAACAGAAAATGCAAATGAAAAATATGAAAAATCTATGAGCGTGTGTCAATGTTTATAGAAATAAAGCCTCATAGGAACTAATCAACTAAGTACCATTTCCCTCATTTAGATTTCCCGAGTTTTTAAACTAAGGCTTTCAAGTGTCGAGCTCAACAATTTTACTATTCAAGTGTATTCAATAACATTTTTTGCTCAACTGCATGTCGTATCAAAACAAGCAACGAGCCACCTGTTATGTTGCATACCAGCTGGCAATGTTGCGTGGTTGGTATAAGTACACTCTGTACACTTAGGCTTGGGGCCTTAGGCGTTGCTCTGTACGTTATACGTCTGTGCTTGTGCTATTACCGAGTGGATGACGGTGTGTTTCCATTATAATTACATGCTCTGTGATTTCCATAGAAGCGGAGCTGAGCGGAGTTTCCATTGCAAAAAACTGCGCAGTGATGAGGGGTGCTGGGCATAACAAGGTGAAGGGGAACTGAGCAAAACTGAGACAAGCGAACCGGAGCTGAGACGACCGACTATCGGAGCGTATACATTTTATTTTCAATTAAGTAGTACAGTGTTGGACAGAGAGGATGTACTGTGATCTCAACTGATCTATACAAAAAGAAAGCCCTACTATATTGCGTTACCCCTCTCAGCCATGATCCACCCCGCGCATCCCTGATCTACACCGTAAAGTAAAGCCTCACTTCACTACTATCACTACTATCAAATATGGTGCGACCTCCGAAGCGGACAAAAATGACGGTTCGATTCGATCGTCTATTCATACTTTCAATCTTCTCAAATTTGCTAACACTGTTCCCCCTGAATCGGAGTGGAGATGAGATGTGTATTTTGAACAATGCGATTGGTATTTTTTTGTAATTCTATTCTGTCAGCATCACGCAGCTTCTCTTTCTTTCTCTAATGCTCCAGGCCTCAGCTTCTGTGGAAACGCAGCCTAACGAAGCTTCTGATATTTTATGCAAAAAATTAAACTCATTAGTGATTGAAATACAGCTTGTGGAATGATAATTGTTATAAATAAAATACAAATAATGATAAGACTAAATCGAAAAATAACTTTAGTTACATTTTCTGAACGTTAAATAAAATGTTATTTGTTACTGTTTCTGAACGACACATCAGACATTTTCATTTCGTAGGTAAATAAATGAGATTCATCAATATTGCATTATTCCTTCGTAACAACTGTTCACTGAACATCCAAAGTTAAAAAATAGTATAACATACACTTTCCAAGTAATTAGTTCGTGAATTGTGTGAATAACGGCGTTTAGAAGTGTTGAATTTTGAGAGTGAAATTAGACAAGTTATGGATCAAGACAAGACAGAGAGCAGTTCGAATACTTCGAATCCCGGAAAGAGGACACGACCTTTGCTACTGCAACCAAGTCCAAAGATTGCTAGAATATCAGCGTACGCAAGTTCAACCTCTAGTGGGGTGTTAAAGAACTCTAAAAAGTTTGGCCCTCATTCTCCTAAGAGGGCTAAAGTATCTTATAACAAAAGTGATGTGCCTGCTCCAGGTACTCCAGTACCTGACAAATATGTTCGTAAGGCTGGGCCTTACCTGCTGGGGCCTAAAGTTGGCCCCAGTCCTGTTAAAAGCATAGTGCAGTGTTTAGCAAGGAAAGAGAGAACAGATGAGTTTTACCAGGTAAGATATCATCAACTATAAATTTGTAAACATTGGAAACATAATATTTTTATGTCTATGGACATTTTATAAGTTCATTGTAATATACTTATTACTTATCTACATTTTTGTTATTGTGCTCTTCAGTACCTATATTCATTGTTTATTCACTAAACAAGAACAAAATTATAATTTATGAAATGAAATCTTATACTCTTCATCTGTTTATTACATATTTGGGTCAGAGTGTAGCAAAGGGTGTGCAAGGGATTTGGGACTTAGAAAATTTTTCAAAAAAAAATAAAATTTTTAAAAATGCCTAGTTTTCTTTTTCCATCGCTTAGTACACCTAAAAATAAAGCGAAACTCGTCTGAGCACTTTTTGTCTAGGACGTCAGGTTTGCCTGGAAATGAGCCTTAAAGTTCACTTGACGAAAACACTTAGAAAATTTTTCAAAAAGAAATAAAATTCTTAAAAATGCCTAGTTTTCTTTTTCCGTCGCTTAGTACACCTAAAAATAAAGCGAAAGTCATCTGAGCACTTTTTGTCTAGGACTTCACGTTCGCCTGAAAATGAGCTCTGAAAGTCGCTTGGTGAAAACACTTAGAAAATTTTCGACCAAAATTTTTTTTACACAATCTTCCCTCGTTTTGATTTCTATCGTGTAGAGGGATGAAAAACAAACACTTTTCATTCTGATCATTTTTCGTCTAGCGTCAGCCGTTCTCCAGTTATAGCGAGTGAAAGGTTGACCTGAAAACTGAAAAGTTTCAGAAATCTCATTTTCTTTATACCAATGTCTAGAACACGCGAGTACAATTATTTTTTGTTCTGACCATTTCCCGGTACGAGTTAGCAATCGACAGATATTAGCAGTAGAAGCGTCCAGGGACTTGTAATTTTTTCATGATTTGACGCGGGCCATTTACTTTAGGGTGTGCAAGGGATTTGGGACTTATAAAATTTTTCAAAAAAAATAAAATTCTTAAAAATGCCTAGTTTTCTTTTTCCGTCGCTTAGTACACCTAAAAATAAAGCGAAAGTCATCTGAGCACTTTGTGTCTAGGACTTCTCGTTCGCCTGAAAATGAGCTCTGAAAGTCGCTTGGTGAAAACACTTAGAAAATTTTCGACCAAAATTTTTTTTACACAATATTCCCTCGTTTTGATTTCTATCGTGTAGAGGGATGAAAAACAAACACTTTTCATTCTGATCATTTTTCGTCTAGCGTCAGCCGTTCTCCAGTTATAGCGAGTGAAAGGTTGACCTGAAAACTGAAAAGTTTCAGAAATCTCATTTTCTTTATACCAATGTCTAGAACACGCGAGTACAATTATTTTTTGTTCTGACCATTTCCCGGTACGAGTTAGCAATCGACAGATATTAGCAGTAGAAGCGTCCAGGGACTTGTAATTTTTTCATGATTTGACGCGGGCCATTTACTTTAGGGTGTGCAAGGGATTTGGGACTTATAAAATTTTTCAAAAAAAATAAAATTCTTAAAAATGCCTAGTTTTCTTTTTCCGTCGCTTAGTACACCTAAAAATAAAGCGAAAGTCATCTGAGCACTTTGTGTCTAGGACTTCTCGTTCGCCTGAAAATGAGCTCTGAAAGTCGCTTGGTGAAAACACTTAGAAAATTTTCGACCAAAATTTTTTTTACACAATATTCCCTCGTTTTGATTTCTATCGTGTAGAGGGATGAAAAACAAACACTTTTCATACTGATCAGTTTTCGTCTATCGTCAGCCGTTCTCCGATAAAAGCGGGATAATATAATGGATAGGTGGTGTGGTAACCTACGAGGTGTGCGAGGGGCTTGTAGCATAGGGGGGTAGCATGAGGGGTCAGAGACTCGAGAGGGAAATTTGTGGAGGCCGAATACCGTGGGGGTGGAGGTGCTGTAAAAATGACGGTTACATTAATGGCGTCGTCGGTCGCAGGCGGCAGATTACTCGTACCGGGTGCACGAAAAAAGATTTTAATTGCGACGGCGACAATTGGGGCTGCTACACCGGCAGTTTCTACTCTTGATGCCCCTTTTCCCTAAACCGGGATAGACCCTATGCATATCCCTTAGTAGCCGGCGAAATCGAGCCGCGTCTGATGGGAGCTGTCTTAAAATGTTGTGGCGGTACATGTATTCTCCCATGTACCACTTAAGGCGACGCTGGCTTCGACATGTCCGACAATGCCTTTTTAGTTCTAGCCACTGCCGCTCCAGGGTGTTGGTGTGGATTTTTACCTTTACGTTCCCACCTGGAGCCGGTACCCCCAGGGAGGTATCTACGGGAATGTCAACCGTGCCCCCGACAAAGTTCAGGCTGTGGTTGACAGCTGAGTGACCCCTCATGCCCAACCGTAAATGTATATTATTGTAGGCGCGGTGCATGTCGGACATAATGTACGACCCTGTGCGAACGTTTGCCTCCACTATAGGGTCCAGAGTCGTACGCGCTTTGTTTGGGATTAGCTCTACGTGTATTTGTCTGGTAAGGCGGCTTATGCACCCAAACGACCATGTTTGCCGCCTTAACAGCCGGCCCCTATGGTATTTTCTTGTATATAAATGTGTCTCGTCTATTTCTACTACGTCGTTGCTTCCGCCTAACAAGTCTCTGTCGTGGGCTTCTGCCACCTCGCACACCTCTCTTAGGTAATGGTATGTTTGGATTGCCGTTTTCTTTGTAACCCCAACATCTTTTGCCGCCTGCGACACTTTATCCTTTCTCAAAAAATGTACCATAAGACGTAGCGTGTTTAACACGCTAACGTGGGCCCTCTCAAAAAACGTATTTTTAAGAGGGGACCTAATGGACGGCCTGCCCTCCCTAGCACACCTCCAGCACCTTAATCGGTACTTAAGCTTGTAACTCATTTTGGTCTCTCTAGACATGGGGCCTCTGCATGTTGGACACCTAGGCGTCCGGGCTGGAATAAGCAGCCACGCTTTGGCTGCAGTTACTGCAGTCTCCTCATTAGGAATTGCGCAAGCGTAATTCCATAAGTTGAAATTGCGCGCCAAAATCAACTGCAGCGGGTCCATGTTAAATTAAAATATATAAATAATATAATAAAAATGAAACTTAAATCTACTGTAAAACTAAAATAAAATAAACTTAAATCTAAAACTAAAATCTACTTCTAACTAATTAACTAACTACGTACTTACTAACTATTAAAAATATTAAAAAAAGGAATAATTAAACTATAAAGAATACTAAAATAAGAAAAACTATAAATCTACGATCGCAAAGAATACTTTCAAACACCAAACGCACAAACAAATCGAAATTTGAGAGCAAAATTTGCTCAGAAATGCGTCGCTTACATCGACTTGCCGAAATTTGGCAAAAACATCGATATCACGCAGACACCGGGTCGCGCGGGCACTCCCGCGCGAGCGGGCACACGCACAAGACGTGTCGGGAATTTCTCTATGATTTTTTTTTATTAACTTCAGCTAAAAAGTTCCAATGGAAATATCAATTCTTTTTTTGTGTTCTATACGTTTTTAATCATTGTATAATAAATAAATATTGTTTTTGATTTTTTTTAGCAATATTTAGGTTTCGACGACTATTTCCCGCCAACCCTCTGACGATAGACGAAAAATGATCAGAATGAAAAGTGTTTGTTTTTCATCCCTCTACACGATAGAAATCAAAACGAGGGAATATTGTGTAAAAAAAATTTTGGTCGAAAATTTTCTAAGTGTTTTCACCAAGCGACTTTCAGAGCTCATTTTCAGGCGAACGTGAAGTCCTAGACAAAAAGTGCTCAGATGACTTTCGCTTTATTTTTAGGTGTACTAAGCGACGGAAAAAGAAAACTAGGCATTTTTAAGAATTTTATTTTTTTTTGAAAAATTTTCTAAGTCCCAAATCCCTTGCACACCCTTTGCTACACTCTGACCCATATTTGAATATAATTTATTTGGTTAGCATTGCTGATAATCTGTAATGAGGTTTATTACTAAACATTAAACCTTTTTGCACAAATTATTTTTTTTTTGATTTTAAAATGATGCAACAGTTTTAGGTTTTAACACTACATAGTTATTATTTATTTCTGTATTTTGTGTAATACTTATGAAACTGGTCATTGTAGTTACTTTCCTTGTTTTCATATTATTATTAGTTGCCATTTAATAATAATTTATTCATATAATTCATGACTAAATTAAAAATAGTTGAACTACATAACTATACTAATATTATTGTATAGGACAGATTCTGATTGTTTAGTTTCAATTAAATAAGCTCTGAGCGCTTAATAAGAGTTTGTTTTACGGTAAAAGTAATCGAAATGAGACAGTGTTCAGCACTCTGATTGGTTGTGGAGCTGTTATAGAACACGGTCTTGTTCTATAAAAGCTCATACTAACACCTCAGAAATTGTGTAATTTGAAAAAATCTTTCTTCTTCGGGAATGCATGCTTTTCATTTATTTCCATCCTAACATTCCTAACAACGACTTAAGCGCAATCTCTTAACTCATTGAGTACCGTCATTATAGACACAATTATAGAACAATAGGTTGCGGTCACCGGTGACCGCTTGGTGTTTGACAGTTAAATTGCAAGTACTTAAAAGTCGCAAGAGAAAGTCAATTACCTATATTTTTTATCTTTTCAATTCAACTTTTTAATATTCTCATGAACATTTTTCTATAAATAAATGACATAATAATCATTTTATTCTAACAATGTGATTTTATGCATGTTTGTATATAAAGTTATGTACAATAAATAAATAAGATAGAGGGCGACAGGTACATACATGATTAATTACAAATATTGTGCAAGATTACGCTCAGGTGACTTGCATCAGGATTACATATTTAATCTTAGTTATTTGTAACTGGATTAAACTTGTTCATAATTTAAATAATGATGTTTTGTGATAAGAATTTAAAATTATTGTTGGTATCCACTTATCCAGCAGGGTCTAATAGGAAAAAGGTTTAATTTTTCCTATTGTACCCAATTTTTATTTTGATTACTTGACTTCCTTATTGGTCAATCGGTTTATTTGCGACTGCCACTGCCAAACAATGTGTCCTGGCTTAAAAGGTCCTAATTTAGTAATTTTAATCACCATAATTTATCAAATATTTTACTTTACCAGACTCAAAACAGTATACTATTGACCTCTGTACATAATATTGTCATGCTTATCTCCCATCGGGGTGGGTCAGAGACAAAGGAATGCCAAATGATACACTATCTGTAAAATATTTTATTTTCAGGTGAAGATCTTAACCTTACGGAATGAAGGTCAGCCTGAAACACAAGATGACAGGCAAGGCAAGATGCTGTTGCATACAGAGTATTCCTTACTGTCGTTACTGAAGGACCAGGACGGTGTCATCCATCATCACGGGTTGTTCAAGGTTTGTTGGGTATTTTTGTATGTAATTGTATTAGCTACAGAGAATTTTATTTGATTTCATTCGCAATAAGCTTAAATCCTTACATTTTTTGTCTATTACCTTGCATTGCATGATTGCAAAAAAATAAAAGCTTAAATCCTTCTGTAGACAAAAAAAAATTATAATAACTACCGTGAGATATACTAAATTAACTAAAAACTATCGGTTACGTCGCCGCGACCGCGCACGCTGTTTATGAGGAAGAACCCCCTCTGTGGTTCGAAACTAGTAGAGCTTTTCTCTGTATATTCACGTGTGTAACCCCCGGTTTTTAGTTAAAAATTCTTTAAAAAAAGATTGCCCCTAGGTTAAGCCTACCTTGAGGTACTCCGGTAACCTCAGTCACGATAATATTGTTACCTACTTTTAACATTTTTTCTTCACTGCCTCGTTGGCCGAGTGGTCGCCGGGCTAAGGGTCTCCGGGTTCGATTCCCGGGTCGGGCAAACTATTTCTGGCTTTTTAAAAAAATCTCAGTATTAGCATGGAGTCTGGAATTGTGCCCGGTATATGGTAATAGGCTCACCCCCTATTATAGGTATGGGACTGATAACACAAATAGTAAGAAGTGAGTGTTAAATTGTACAGTGGCATTAGGTGTGCCGTAATGTACATCTCTGGATAAAAAGGCGTAATGATGTGATAATTTTCTCTTCAATCCACAGGACCATGCGCTAGAAGAAGTACCAAATCCTAATGGCAACGGGTACATCTACACTGGTCGCGTCCGCCAACGATTGTTCCTCGTGTTGGACTGCGTCAGTCAACACCAATTCAGTGAGAAAGGCTCCGAGCTAGTCAACCTACAGCAATACGTCACTAAAGTCAAGAAAGTTCCTGAAAAAGAAGCGATATTAATATTCTATGATATTGTGAGAGTTGTCGCTAATTTGCATAAGGTGAGTTGCATTTATAATAAAGACTAGCTTTTACCCGCGGCTTCGCTCGCGTCACAAAAGGATAAAAAGTAGCCTATGTGACATATACCGGTATACACAACGCCATCTATACCAATACTTTTGTTTTCCCTTGGGAGTATCAACATTTTTCGGGATAAAAAGTACCCTATTATTTAATCCGGACTTCTAACTTTACGTCTGCAAAAATTCAAAGTAATCGGTTTAGTAGTTACTGCGTGAAAGCGGAACAAACAAACAAACAAACAAACAAACTCACTTTCCGATTTATAATATACTAGCGACCCGCCCCGGCTTCGCACGGGTGCAATATGCATGTATTATACATACAAACCTTCCTTAAGAATCACTCTATCTATTAAAAAAAACCGCATCAAAATCCGTTGCGTAGTTTTAAAGATCTAAGCATACATACGGACATACAGCGAAAGCGACTTTGTTTTATACTATGTATTGAAGTAAGGATTAGTAAGGATAAAATGTATTTAGAAAAGACTAAATGACAAAACAATTATCATCATCATCATCAGCCCATATTCGTCCACTGCTGGATTAGGCCTCTACAATTCTATATAAAGAAAAATGGGTTAGAAGAGCTTTAGACCGAGCTCTGTGGCGTGCCATTGGAGAGGCCTATAACAAAACAATATCTAACACTAATCCTGGTGTTCCTGGGTGCCGCCGATTGCTAACAATCACGTGATCCGTCAAATCGTTTGCGACATTCAATAATAGAAATATACATAAAGTTGCCCGTTTTTAACCGACTTCAAAAAATAGGATGTTCTCAGTATGACGTGTGTATACCTATGCCTATGTATGTTTTTGCGCGATTATCTCCCAATTGGCTGAACCGTTTCCGATTAGGTTTTTAGGAAAGTGTTTGTAACACTTTCCTTTTCTTGAATAGGAGCACTATTTTTATGGATTGTCAGTATGCATATGTGAGCACCATGTTAGGCTATAAGACTTTTTTTTATTTTAGTTAAGTTTGAAATTAGTACCTATAATGCGTCAAGCGTGTCTGCATTGTTCCCTCGTATACACGTACAGTATTGGAATATGTATCAGAGACATTGTTGTTGTGAATGGAGTTTCTTTCTCGTTCTTCTCTGTTCGAATCTACATTTTGGAATGAGCACCTCACTTCACCTAGCTTCACTGACGGACTGACAGACAGACTATCATTTATTTTGTATTTGTTGACGTTTCAAAAGTACCAAATTATGGTCTAATTGAATTAAATGCTTTGACTTTGACTTCGGTTTTAGTATATTAATTAACTAGCTTCAAAAAAGAGGGGGTTGAAGTTTTTTATACGTAGTTTATAAAAGAACTAGCAGCCCGTCCTGGCTTCGCACGGGGTAGACAATTATTTATTTTTGGAAATTTGGATTGTTGTAGTGACATAACTACAATAGTTGGACATATGCTACCGCGGAGTTTTTTGTAGACATTATGATGTTCTTCAATATTGTTGTACATTATTTTGTTCTATCGCTAATAATTTCGGCAGCGCATTCGACGAAAGACATTTTAAGATTCATTTTTCTACACCTTCGGTTACATTGTTCAAATTTTACCAAGGATCCCTAATTTTTTCAATTGAAATGTAGCCTATGTCAAATTGGAAGAATGTAGCATTCTATTGGTCAAAGATTTTTTTTAAATCGGCCCAGTACTTTTTGAGCCTATTCATTACAAACATACAAAAATAGGTACAAATCTTTCCTCTTTATAATATTACTAGCGGCCCGTCCCGGCTTCGCACGGGGGGACTTAAGATTTTTTACATAGTTTTACGTTTTATTTATATTTATTCTCAGTTTTTTTTATTTAGGAAGTATATTAAGAAGTACCTTTTGAAAATATTTTTCCGGACTTCATTTACTTATTTCATTTATTTATGAACAATTCATCTATAGAGCATTTTTGTATAACTTTAACTATATGCTCAGCGCACGCCACGGAAGGCCTCAGAAACGATACTTTTCCCCCGTTTTTAAAACATTTTTGGTTACTGCTCCACAACTATAGGACCTAGCGTGATATTATATAGCCTATGTTACTTCTGAATAATGCAGCTTTCTAATGGTGAAAAAATTATTGCAATCGGTCCAGTAGTTTTTGAGTTTATTCATTACAAACATACAGAAATAGGTACAAATCTTTCCTCTTTATATTATTATAAATAAAAGAATAAATTCTTCTTGGTAATGAGTATGAGTCAATTCATAATAAAGTTGGCTCATGATCGTGAGACAAGAACTTGCCTGTTCGATTCAAGCACGCTCGACACGTAATTTCTTGCTCGATACAAGTATTAACTATATTTTTTCGTGATTACGACATGATTGGCCCGCATTGCGCAATAATTTGTGTGATCCACAAATTGGGTTCATTTCGTGTCTTTTTTTATATATTCGAGGGGCCGACGTTTGACCACCATCTCGCCTGAATGTGATGTGTATGTAAAATTGTATGTTTGTAAATTAATGCATCTACAATACAAGAGAAAATAGTAGTTTTAGGCAATTCTTTTTAAATAATCTAAAAATAATGGTGAATTACAAATCGAACATATATTATTTGCTAATAATTAAAGGCTAGATGTGTTCCAACATTGTTATTTAAATATCTTAAGTTCATTTTCATTTTTTTTACATTAGGGGTAATGGGATTTCCTCCTGTGTCGTGGGTGCGTTTACAAACATACAAGTTCACATACAAACAACAATTTGTGGATCACACAAAGAGATGTTTCGTGCGGGAACCGAACGCGCGACATATTGCGCGGCAGCCAGTGGCCCAGCCACCGCCCCAACAGTGCAGTCAAAGTTTAAACCAAACTTCTCTTTTTTAATTGGTGACTTTAATTTTTGTTTTCTTTTTTTGCAGAGGAACATAGTGCATCGAGACTTAAAGTTGGGTAATATAGTGCTGAACCAACGGACGGGACGTATTACTATCACTAACTTTTGTTTGGGTACCCACCTGGGCAGTGACCGGGATCTCTTGAAGGATCAGCGAGGTTGGTATAAATACTGTATTTTTAATTATTATACTGCGGCGGTAGAAGGTTGTTAATAACCTACGCATGCCGATTCAGGTGTGACGTAATACTGTTCATAGTTATGGGTCCTTACGTAGCTCGAAACTAGTTGAGTTACTGAGTCGAAAATTTACAATATAACAATAATATCCCGTTGAGTTATAATCCAAAATACTATACATATAAGTAGACATTTTCTGTCAATGTCATACAAACCTTGATATGATAAAAACAACCTTGACAAAAAAGAACCTAGTTGGATACATTTACATTTGTGGACTAATTCTGGTAATCTAATCATTAGTCACATTTCTCCTTCAATATTGCAGCATAAAATAAATATTGAACGCACGAAACCTTCATGGTGGATAGGGCCAAGAAAGTAACATAATTTCAAATATACTTAAATAAAACAGAGAGTTTCAGGATTATACTTTTTAATTAAAATTTTTTGAGAATTACTGGTTACGCGATGGCTGGACAACTGGCTGCCGCGCAACGCACTGTGTAGTGGGTTCTATTTCCGCACTGAGCAACTCTTTGTGTGATCCGCAAATTGTTGTTACGGGTCTGCCATGTGTCTGAATTTGTATGTTTGTAAAAGCACCCATGACACAGGAGAACATCCTAATGGAGGATGTTTTATAAAGAATAAATAAAATGTTTATAGGTCAAGGCCAATTGGTTTAAAATAGTTATCTTATAAGTAGAGGTGCCTCTACCTACTCCTTTAGCGAATAATAATTATAAAAGTATATAATTTTAGCCCATACTCATCAGTGTACATCTAGTGACAGATATAACGATTTATTTCTATTCCAGGATCCCCAGCCTATATATCACCCGACGTCCTCCTATGTAAGCCGTACTTAGGCAAGCCTTCAGACATGTGGGCGTTAGGAGTCGTTCTATATACGATGCTGTACGGTCAGTTCCCATTCTGCGATACCAGTCTTGCTCAGCTCTTTAGCCGGATACAGGCTGCCAATTATAATATACCACCGTGAGTATTTTTAATTTTTTAATTTTCGATGCTGTCTATTATGTTTTAAAGTTATGCTGGTCAACCTTTTTTCATAAGGGTCTATAAAGAACTGAGAGCTTACTTTTGAAACAATGTCAATGTCAATTCAATTTCCATTTCATTTCATTTCATTTCATTTATTCAATAAACAATTTACATTGTATCTGAATGTCTTCATACATTATCATAAATCATAATCATAAATTACATTGCAATATAATCCATACAGCATGGATCAGTCATATTACTCATAAAACAAAAAATAAAATCAACAGAACAATTTAAATAATAATTAAACGCGAAATAATCAAATATAACATGACAAAAATCCAATTTAAAAAGAAATTACATAATTGGGTACTTTTCACGATAAGAATAGATCAATTATAAATTATCCATGTCAATTCAATTTCCATGTCAATTTAATTTCCATGTCAATTCAATTTCCATGTCAATTCAATTTCTATTAAATAAAATCTCAGTAATTGGATACTTGCCAACTAATCAAATTCAATATTTTTTTCGAACTGTCAAAAACGGTAGTTTTCTATGATTTTTGTACGAGATTGAGTATTGTGACGTCACGTTTTTTCAGAGTCACACAGCATCCTTATTTCTTAAAAAAACCGACTTCAAAAACGAATGACTAACGAAAAGTAAAAACTAAAAAGGAAAAAAATAACTATTTTTGGTCATACGTACTTATATTACACACCCACTGATAGATAGGTTACGTTAGGTAATGGGCGCTAGTGTTCCAACTCAAGAGTACGAAAATTCACAATATCAAGGTCGATTGATGTTGGTCCTTCTCCAAAATCTTAAATCGAACAGTATTGATATTATTATATTGAAAATCGAACAGTATTGATAATATCAATGATTTAAGATTTGATTTGATCAAATTGATATCACCTCAATGTACTAAATTATACCCACCTATATTAGTTTATTTATTTTGTGCACAACACATAGATAACACACAGGGGATCACATATATATCTAAATAGATTGGAGGTACGGTACATAGGTACTGCATATTCTCGTAGAATATCTCGTCCTACAGTCCCTCGACAGGAAAAACAGTAAAAATTAAGACACTGTGTGTCACAAAGTGTAAACAAATAATACAAAAATTACCGAAACATGCCTTAGCCTTATCAAAAAGGTTGTTATAGCCCTAAGGCTATAATAATGATGATGGCCTATCATTTATCTAGAGTATTCAGGGTCTTAAAAGTAATAAGATCTTTACGTGGAGTATTAACGATCATGACTAATTCTTCTCAATTATTTTCAGGGATGGAAACACGGTGCAAGTTTCCGATAACACAATTTTCCTAATACAACGGTTGCTGGTTAAAGATCCGAAGCACAGATTGGTAGCGGATGAGGTAAGAATATAATGTTAACAAACCCCATATAACAAAATATATAGATGTCATGTCGTCGTTTAGATTTTTGTATTGAGCTTTACATAACCTGCTTGGTTAAACACATTATCTCATTTTTAAGGGTTTTATTAACCATAACATGTGTAAGTGTTATTCATATGACAACAACTAATAGCTACTATTAATAATAATAATTTTATTTTATCATTCCAATAAAATGGCATTAGCGTAACATTCTACTCTCAACCAACAGATGGCGTTAAACTCAATTATCTACTTCCAGGTATTAGACCAACTTTCAAGTATAATAGCGAGTTACGTGATAGTCCCGAACCCACCAGAAGATTTGCAAGTTGTTCCAGACGTACCACTAGAAGAGGAGAAACAAGTAAAGTCTCCTACGACCGCGCAATCTTCTACTGAAGTCGATAGGAAGCCTTTCTTGACTATACCTGAGAGTAATGGGGAAAGAACGCCTAATGCTACGGTGAGTACCTACTACGTTTAATTCATTTGAATTGATATTTTTTTAAAAGATAGAATATAATGTATGTATGAATATAATGTGGTATAAAAGTATTATTGTCCTATCGAAAATACCTCATCCTTTTTATTTGGGACTCCTACTGTATCTGTATATTCAAGCTTTATGCTTTCAAGGTCAATAAATGAGGTTTCAACTATTTACAGGAGGAACTGGGAGTATTCTGCGTACCGTTACCGGACTTCATAGCAGTAAACTTCTCAAATTCCACGCGAGTGAACCAAAACAGCCTCATACTTCAACCGACAAGCGCTCCAGTCGACCCATCCGCTCTCGCAGCACTGAACCAACCACGAAATATTACCGTCCAGCGAATCGGTAGGGACGCCAGACCTCTTCTACCAGCAGAAATAGCCAGGTACCAACATATGTTTGCTTCCAACCCTGCACAAAGGCCAGAACCACCCCGTAGACCAGATGTACCAAACTTTGTACCAGATTCTTCAAGGCAGGAACGACCAACTTCCAGACTTCAGTCCCTTGCTCAACGCATTCCGAGGCTCATTCCTCCTATTGCAACCACCTCAGGACAGACCTCAGCTGATTTCAGGGTCATACAATGGCCAGAACCTCGTCCCAGAGGATGGGACAATGACTACATACTCCGTTTACCTGTTCTAGATCTTTCTAGAGTAAATGGCAATAGAATAATGAATCCTGCACCTGTTCATACGATCAATCCTGAGGCTGTGGTCAATAATCCTAGGCCTAACCCGATGGATCCATCTGATGCTGATTAATTGTTGCCAGGTTCAAAAAAAACAATAGTTATGTATGAGGTAACTTTAAAGTAGATGCTGACTTTTAATTTAAATTTATTTGTGCCCTAATATTGGAATGTTATTCAACTTGGTAATGAAATTGGACCATGAAATGTTTTAATTATTCTTCTCCATATGTATCGAGACTATTAAAACTGCGAGACAAACTGACAGATTGCCTATTCCCTTCTGACTGTAATGGAGTAGCATTTCAGTGTTAGGGCATCCAGATTTAGGTTCTGTATACTAAACTGGAGACAAAATGTTTTAAAACCTCTTTTAATAAACGTGTGTTCTTGGAATTGCAATAAAAAGTATTTTATCTGAAGCTATGATAGTTGTTAGGAAGCGAAAGAAAGATTAATTGTTACTACAAATGATAGTGAATATGTAATATTGGTAGATTTTTTAATTAATACTTGTACATATAGTTATGAGATATGTGTGAGAGTAGGAGCGGTAAATATAAGAGTAGAAGAATGGAGGAGTCAGGGAACAAAGAAGGAATAAGAGTTAAGAAATGAAAGGAGAAGTAGTACATTGAAGGATTGGTATCCAAGAGAGCATTGATAGTCGTAATTAAAAGGCATTGGGATGCACGTCAAACCATCAGTACTAATTTTGATCTCTTTCTGGTTGTGTCGGGTTGCCATCCCATTGCACATGAGATTGAGGGAACAAAGAGTGCATTTGTGTTTCCACACTCTTGTACACTACCTCTATAATCTGTTGTAGTTGGGAACATCTCATTGCTATCTCAAACTGACAGATTCATGCAATATATTTTAGATTTTATAACAGAACAATAAGGTTGAAATTCTAGATAGATAGATCTTAGATATTCTGTTCAAAATTGATAAGGAGATTTAGGGAACAGAGAGTAAAGTTCCCTAAGATCGGAAAAGGAGGATCCTTCGACCAGGCGAGGTGGTCGTGCCTGGCGGGCTTTCTGCCCAACATGCTGTTAATTTGCATGTAAACTTAGCATGTGCGATGTAGGATTTTTTAGACGTCATCTGTTGACATGTACCATGTGTCGCCATAGAGACATTTTGTTATGATTAATGCAAGTTTAACGCAGCACTTTTTTCCGGGAGAAAATCAATACAATACATTGTCTTCTCCCGCCCGGGTGAAGGGAGAGGGAGTGTCAGACTCTTACTGACTAAAAACCACCCCGTTCCCACTCCTGCTTTGAGTTGGAGTCTCGCGCTAGTACTGGTTTTCACTTAGCATCCCACCCTAAAAATAAAACCTGTTCGTTAGAAATCACTTGACACTTAAGTCTGTCCCACATTTTGTCTCCAATTTTGTACAAATATATCTATATATAAATGTATCTAAATAACTAGGTTCCCAAATATTCTTAAACGTCTGAATTAATGTAGTTATCGTATGTTTAATAGAAACAAATTGATTTCAAAGTGTGGAGGGAATTGCTTATAACTATAAGTTTATTTTTTATTAATTATTATTATTATTATAATATTTTAAGTCTGATACGTTTTGTTAAGTACTGTTTTAATGTAAGTGATTTATATTTTATTGTTTATCTTTTTATATGTCTAGAGTCTAGACGAGTGCTTATCTATTACGTGATTACTTTACTTAATCAAAATGTTGATAGAAGTGGGTTTTCCAAATTATTTTGTGTACCACTGAGGTGGGAAACGCGATTTTGATTTTTGTTAACGAAACTTAAAACCTAAAATCGTTTTCTTACCTTTTAAACTTTCCCTGGACTACCACGAACATTTCAAGTCTAAAATTAGCGAAATCGGTTCAGCTGTTCTTGAGTTTTGGCGAGATTAACGAACGGATTTTTTTTTGTTTTTTTTTTGGTTCGTTTATTGGTTTTCGGTTTCAATAGATAAGCACTTGTCTAGCAGCGGCGTAACTATTGTAATGGCAATGCATAGCAGGCCTTTAAAATGAAACAACAAGGTATGTTCTTCATCTGGACGCGGTCAGTGATGTATGTCCTTTGTTTTTAGCATCCAATTAGCACTAGCGGAGTTTTATAAACTCGTTTCTTAGTCGTTTCATAGCCGTTCTTTGTTTTATTCCTCTTGACCCTGAATTGTCAGGGTCAAGAGGAATAAGTTCTTTTTGATTGTCCACGTTTTTAGAGGTCCCCAAATCAAGACGGGAAGTCTTCACTTCGTAGTACAGCCCTTGATATTTAAACAGCCTATTCTTCATTTCCCTTTGTTTCAAATAATTATGGGATGTTCTAGAATTCTAGATTGTTCGACTCAAAAGAGTCGATGTGATTCATTTTGGTTTAATTCTTTTAGAAATAAATATTCGGATTTGAATAACCAATTAATACTTAGTAGGTATTTTGTGTTGAATCCCGTTTTATGACTACAAATCGGTTATTCAGTTTTATGTTAATGTGTAATTGATTGATTATAATAACCGATGATGCTTTAGTGAAGTTTAGTGCGTCGAGCGTCCACTGATGATACGCTCGACGCATTTCCCGTCACATGTGAAAGGTCCATATGTCCAATTAGTAATGTGTAACATGAGATTTGATCACTGATTTAAGGAACGAATAGACTACGACACAAATTGTGACATAGATGTCTGATATTAATGTACCTTTCACAGTTATACGGATGATATACTGATACGGCGGCTGATGCGACAATAGTTATCGTGTCACAATAAGTTTTCCTGTTACAGACACTCGATGTTCACACAGAGTCATTCGATGTTTAAATGTGGGAGAGCCGTGACTAGACACGAATGTGCCGGCTCGACCGGAGCGAAACTACGGCCTTACAGAAAACCGACGTGAAGCAACGCTTGCGTTGTGTTTTGTCGTGTGAGTGAGGTTACCGGAGGCCAACCGCCCTCCCCAGTCTCCTCAATCCCTCACAATCCTCAAATTCCCATTTCCCAACAGGCCGGTAACGCACTTGTAACGCCTCTGGTGATCCAAGTGTCCATGGGCGGTGCCGATTGCTTACCATAAGGTGATCAGTCTGCCGATTTACCGGCTGATCTCATAAAAAATACATTGAGTGTATAATGTCGTAGTCTCTTCGTACCTTTATAGAGTCACGTCGACCTACCCTGATTTATCAATTATTTTCAATACATTTTCAACCTTATAACAATAATATAAAGTTGAAAAAAAATGGTAGATTGGAGTAAATTGGCAGAATTCGGGGTTTATACATTTATTTAATCGTGTTTTCAATGTGCAAGCAGTATTAGTTACCCTTAAATGGTTTTGTAGCTGCAAATAATAATATTACATTTTTATTCATAAATTCTGTCACAGTTTATATCAAACTCCATGTGGTTGGAAATTGTAATACTTGCTATAGCAAAGAACTTATATTCGTTGTTTGTGACGTTAGCACTACTTGCACAATGAAAGCGTAAAATACCATTTATAATAAGCGTTCGGGTACTCGATTTTACTTACTATAAGTAGATATTTTATAACATCAGACAATGCAATTATTTTTTCTATTAAAAATAGTTTCAAACAATTTATTACTTAATTTTTATCGTCCATTTTAATTATGTTCTTATTATGTGATGTAAATTAATATTTTCGTAGTAAAAGTATATCGGAAATGTTAGAAAAAAGTGATTTAGGTGCCAACCTGTAGTTAGGTTTTTAAATTGTAACTAAATATGGCGGTTTTATCTTAAGTATAATTATAATATGACTTAAAAACGGACCTAAGGAAACATAGAAATTTTATACCTTAAAGAAACTTAATTTAATTTTCAAATTTCAATGGGATCAAAGTAAAATACTTGTAGCGTTTTTGTTTGTCTTCAATTTTTTATGTGTGAATCCGTAGATACAATACAAAACTGCCACTAAAATATTAGCCGTATGATAAATTGAATCTGCACGTTCTGATACCCGATTGCAGATAATTTAAGTTTTTTATAATAACTATTGTGAGACATACTAAATTAACTAAAAATTACGAGTTACGTAAATGTACTGAGAAAAGCTGTACTAGTTTCGAGTCACAAGGGGACTCTTCCTCATCAGCAGTATGTGCGGTCGCGGCGATGTACCTCTTTGACTCGAAACTTGTAGAGCTTTTCTCATTGCATTTACGTGAGTAACGCGTTATTTTTTGTTAATTCTGATAATTTAAGCATAGAATGTAGTATGTATGCTCCTTTTATATGTAATTGCTATTAATATCTTTACTTGTCTATCTATGTATCTACATATTCATTTTTAGGGCTGATTTTTCAATGAACGGATATTTTTATTTGGAGAATAAAATTTACATTGACTGACTGACATTTTTTGTATGTCTAATTTCAAAAATAATCCCTCCAATAAAATTATCTGGGCGTTGGAAAAATCAACCCTTCCTCTATACATAATATCTCAAATAGTCACTATGGTTATCTAGTAGGATATACAAAACGTATGTTAACCTCATCTTTAAAATAATGTAATACATAACTTAAGTGGCAAATGTACCATTTATGTTAGGTATAATATTTATTACAACACTGCAATCGGGTAGAAAATGTAAATAGGCTTTAAATGTCGTTGCTCAATTTCAGCCTTTAATAAATTTTGTAACACGCCATCTATCGGTCGACACGGTAGTTGGTATTTTATATTTCTGATAACAGATGTCGCTACTTGTGTATGACAAATAATTTGTATTATAAAGCGCATGTTTATATAAAGTAGAATTGTATTGAATCGGTATAATTTAAAGGTATTATAAGTAGAACAATTTTTGTTATTTGTTAGTTGCATGCTGATGGTATGTAAGCTAATAAAATGAATTTAAAAATGTATGTTTCTTTTATTGATAATATAATCTTACTTGTTTTCCCTTTGTCATTCCACCCTGATAAGTCATGGTTACCATAAAAGTAGTATTCAAGTTGGAATTCCAAATTGAGAGTACAGTAGTAAGTTATGTGTTATGTACGACTGTGTTTGCGAAAACGAGATCGAAATCGAAATTGTATTTTTTTTGGGATAAGCCGGTAAACTAGCTTACAGATCACCTGTTGGTAAGCAATCGGCGTCGCTCCTGGACACCTGGAACACCGGAGGTTACAAGTGCGTTACCGGCCTGTTGGACATTAGAAATTTGAGGATTGTTGGGGATTCAGGGACTGGGGGAGGAGGGCTTAACTTAACCTCACTCATACGAAACACAACGCAAGCCTTGTTTCAAGTTGGGTTTCTGTGAGGCAGTGGCATCACTTCGGTCGAGCCGGCCCATTCGTGCCGAAGGATGGCTCTCCCATACTTAATAGAATAAATTATATAGGTATGTGATTGCATCTTACCAATGCCTTGTAAAATATAAAGATTTCTGAAATGCTCTATTATAGAAAGACAGTTACAGAAAACTAATCACAACAAACTAAAACTGTATACTGCATTGCATATTATATCTATAATAATTCTAAAAAGAAAAATAACCTCGATTAGGTATAATTCGCAAAAGTCGAGAATATATTCCAAGCTTCCAAGAAAAACATCTTTCAGTAACCCAGACGCGACCTAACACATTTTAATAACGTAATATTAATCTAAGTTTCTTTTCAAAGCTTCCTACCAGTCAGACGTGGCATTAATATTAAAATTAGTTTTCATTTAAACTGGGTTTAAGACGCAAGCGTTAGTTTCGACGTTGAAATATTGCAAGTTCTCCGTTATGAGGCGTTGAGAATTTTCAATTTACATCTGCTATGGGCTAACTGACGTTCTATTGTTGTTGGCTCGTGGATTTTTCTATGTTGTTTTTAAGGCAAGTACGAATACATACTTGTATTGTATAAAGCAATTTCGATCAGAATACCTTTATTATTTTTATGTCTGTGCGTGTGTGTGAAAATGTTTTTTTTACATAGACCACAATCTATAGATACATATAATATAAAAGATAGGTAAAGAAAATCTTATGAA